GTACTCATCTACGCGCCGCGGCCTTTCCTGTTTGGGTTTCCAGCCTTTGGTGTTGTCTCCACTCAGTCCTTTCTCACTTATTACACACCCCGCCCGGGAGAAACCTGTCAGTCCCCGTCTTGGAGATCTCTCCCGCGGTGAAGTAGCTGTGATAAGCGTGGGGCCAGGAAAAATTCCTTCCCCTTCTTGGGCTCCGAAGATTGTCTTCCCCTAGACCTTTGACTTGGCGGCGCTTTTTAGAGCCAGGCCCTATACATTAGTTTAGGGGAAAGCCGCGGCTGTTAAGTCACGAAAGTGGCTGGTGCTTTAGGCCACGGGCCCTGAGATTTGTTTTGGTTTTTGTTTGAGCTGGGCAGGGCTCAGAGGGCCTTGCTGCTTTCCAGGTCCCATATAGCCAGCCACCTCAAAGTAAAAGTGCCTGATAAGGGAAAAGGACCAGCCCAGGGGATCGTGTAAAGATGGTGGAAGAGTGACTGTGAGACTTCACCACCTCAACAAACTTTATGACTGGTTTAGCACATTTATGAATGACATTTCCTGCAACCTAAGGTATGGTGAGTGCCAGGAGAGCCATCTGGCCTAGACTATTAATTAGGGCTGGTCTTTAGATTTAGTATTTTCTCTAAAAGATTATATAGTTATAGATACTGTTCAAATGAAATCCATTTAAATTGTTCAATGTAAACTAAAACTTAAAGAATTTTGTGTCCCATTTTGGAACAGCTTTTATTAGAAACAAAAAAAGAGTCCCCAGTCTCTTAGTTTTAAAAGGCTCTGAAATTACTATAGTCTCATACAAATTTAATATGCAGTTTAAAGTTAGTGTGCAACCCATGTTAGCTGGTATGTTCCAGCAATATACTTTTTATTCCTTTAATGACTAGCTTATTCTTTGAAAAGAAGTGCACAGATCTATTAACAGGTTAAACCTGGGATAAACAGTCCTTGTTTATGACATTAATTCTGCTGATGGTTATGTAGACTTGAGCTATTTTTTTGCTCCTAGTTTCATCTCATTGAATCCTCCGGGTCTCATGGTTGTATGACTTTTGAAATCATGTTTCTGAGGAGGCAGTATAGCAGGGTGGTTAAAAGCACATATGTTGAGAGTCAGGCATTAAACCTGGGTTCAAATCACAAGTGCTTATTTAGTCATTGTAAAGCTTTTAGCAGATTGTGCTCAGCATAGTGTTCAATAAGGGTAGCAATTATCAAAGAGTGAGTGGACTATTTTAAAGAGCCATGACTTTTTTTAACTTGTTAACTAAGACAATTTAAAGTAAAAATATTTTAAAATTCAGTATGAAAAGGCTTCATTTCCAATAAGAGTGAATTGCCTAGCACTCTATGTGTTGAGCTGTAACATCTGAGTTACCAATAATGTAGCATTTTGTGTTTATATAATTTTATTACCACGAAGCTTACACAGCTTTATAGATTTCCCTCCCTGACTGATTAATCTTTATATCTTGAGGTAATCAGTGTAGTAATCGTAGACTCTTTTGTAGTGATTTCTTAAGCCCTAAAAGTAAGTCAGTATGTGCCAAAGGTTCAGAAATAGCCAAAGTTATAACTAATGACTCACTGAATTGGTAAAAATTTATTGTGCACACACCAAAAAGACAATTTGGAAACAGGGAGCACTCAAACCAAAACATAGAATGAGGATCAGGTATATACCATTACAAAGCAGCTTATACAGTAAGAAAGTAGTACCTTCACAGTGATTGGTAATTAAACTAAGTTCATGACTGGTTTTGTCTGCTCAAGTAACCTTCAAGGCTGATCTCTATTTGCTTTTGACTTTAGCAAATGTAAGAGGCTAGGTAGGAAGTCCAGCTTAGGTGCATCCAATGTTTAATCTTAGTCAAGTATTGTGCTCAGCATTGCAGGGGTTACAAAGGTGACCAGTTAAAACACAGACCTTGCCCATGATATTGTAGGATGGAAAAGGATATAAGAAAGCATTAAGTGTCCTGAGAGAGGGCCAGCTAAAATGCTGTTATTCAGCATGATTCAGGATTCTTTAAAATGAGTACCAGTTGAATAGCAATACTTGCCAACTCAATTTCCTCTAAAGAGTCCAACCGCGTAGGGCACACCTTAGCTTTTGCTGTTAAAAGGAGATGATGCGTTATATATTCTTCTAAACCCTTCCATGTCTTCTTCGCCAGCAGGAAAATACTCTCTGTGACTACTTACAACATATGCAACTAAGGTTGAGGAGAATAAATTGTTTCCACCTCTCCTGTCTGCTTCTGAAGAAGAAACATAGTTTACTAAGCTAAATCCTGAAATAGGCATCAGTTATACTAATAAATAGCTAATAGTTAATATAAAGCTTTTAAAATAATGCCTGGCATAATTTCCATTAAAATGTTATCCATTATGACTTATTATTTATTATTAATTATTATTTATTGAGTGCTTACTATATGCCAGGTATTGTTTATAATCTCTTTATAAATTTTCACAAAACCTTTGTAAGTACTTTTATTATCTCTATGAGGAAACAGGTCCAGAGAATTTAACCTGTAAAAGGTCATGAGTGAATAAATGACAGGGCAGACTTTAAACAGAGGCTCTATCCAAGTGCTTAAACACAAAGCTTCCAGCATCTCAGTAGTTATTGAGACCTACTCCTACAATTTCCGATTGACTCCTTAAAGTGACAGTGTAG